TCCAGTATTATGCATGTATTATATATATTTAGGAGAATCTATACATTGAAAATTAGGCGGCTTTGCCGCAGATATTAAATCAAGTCGGTTTTTGATTTATACATTAGAGTTAATTAGCCTTGGGTTAAGGCAATAATTACTCTTAGAGTAAACGGATTGCGATCCGCTAAACTCGTACTTGTTCTAAGTATAGAACGAAGGTCGGTGACCTAACTTACGATTCCTCAAAGCGCAAAGCTACGGCAGCCCAGCTGCAAGTAACCATCTTCAAAGACATCTTGTCCAATCAAATTTACACTTTGTATGACACTAGTATCATACATGGTGAAAACTGCCTGTGCAGCATGCATGTTAAGGTCAGAGCTCTGAGTATCCGCAGCATCCCAGTACTTTTCGAGCCTAAATAGAGTCCTCTACTGGTCGCTCCCGATTTTTACTCTTGGGAGTATTCGAGTCGACGAGATTCATAGCGTCCGCGTTTATCCGAACGAGCTCCCTGTGTCCGTTGCCGACTCGGCACATACGCTCTGCAGTTCCGAGCAATATCACCCGGCTTTCCACAACAAAATTACTTTCCATTAACACGGGGATGCTCATTTTCCGGTGTGGGAATGTACAAGATGTCCCTTGTCCCCGGACCATCACTTGTACCAGTCTAGTGACGCGTTTGCCTCGGAGCGAAGCCGTTTAACTTGAGCTACTTGATGCTGTACTCTTCTTCCATCGCACGGTTACTGGCATCCCTCAGTGCCTAGTAGTTCTTAACAAACAGTATATCTCGGATCGGACCATCATTCGAAATCGCCATGAATGTTACAGCTTGCATTGGAACGTTAATTGGCTCGTTGACCAAGTGGCGAGCACAAGTGTAAATCGTATCGACATAGATAAAGCTCCAAGGACTCGGCATGGGCACAAACTCAGTGATGATTCAAACACACTCTTTTTTTGTATTGAAGTGTTCGTAGCTTGGAAAACAGTTTTGATCGGGGAAACGCTTACGATACACTCAACCATATACCCTCAAGGTTAGAGATCGCGAGCAATATTTGCTACAAGGGGTCTCGCAGATGTCATGCAGTGAATGCTGTATTCAACTTGACAAACCATCGTAAGAGAGGCTCGTTTTCACCAATGATTCAAAGACACACTTCAGAGGCAACGTTCTGTGCTAAGAAATAAGGGTTACTACCTGCTTCCAAGATTCTATAATTTCATGATGCATGAAACTGACGGCCGTGTTCTTCTGACCATTTGAAGAAACGACTAGAGAAAACTGACTACAGCAGCTTCTTCGATGACTTGTCATCTTCGCTTAACGAGGAAATATCCAATTCGTCAACACCTCAGTTTGCGGTACCGATGGACCAAGTGGCACTCCAACTCCTTCCATGTCGCTTGGGCAAGGAGTAACGGAAATGGCTCGTCTGTATATACGCACAAAATGATGCAGACTTAATCGGTCTACACGCTTCATCGCGTGTTGCTCACTTTTAGCGAGCCGTCGATTTACGCGAACGAGGAGAAAAAAATGAAGTAACACTAATTCTGGACAATAGGCCTCACACCTCTCCTAAAATGAGCAGTGCCTTTAATTATGATAAGACAGAATTAAGGAATACACTACATATATAGTTGACGCTGATCACGTGTAACTCCATGACACAAGGACAAAAATATGCTTTAGACTGGCGTGCTTATCAGCCACATCGTCATAGGAAAATCGAATGTCGTTGAACATCGCTCGGAGTGATACCGGGTGTAAAAGGGTGCCGTTCATAACAATCCCCAAGCACAACACACACGCTTGCGCAACGAGGAATGAATTCTGACTGAGATGTAGAAGGTCAGTCCCAGTGTGAGCAAAAGGCTAACACTATTAGCTGCGCATCAGCTGGCGAGCGACTTCGGATTGCCTGATAATGTAATCATCACGTGATTTTGGCAAGCGTGACGATGACTCTCGCGCTTACAGCAAAACAAATCGGAATCCTTGAGCCAGATCCAGTTTGTGGACCACAAGCTAGAATTCTCCTGGATTCCACGATAAGGCTTCAAAACATATCTTGCTGACGGGCAAGAGCAGAAGTAAAAGCCTCCTTTTTAGAAACGGCCAGGTTGCGCATGGCAGAATCAGAGCAAAATTGTTTGATCAGGACTGAGAAAAATTGGTGGAAAGGTTTCTTTCCTCGGCGTTCTTATCTACCGCATCGGTCGTGATGACCGTGCTTTTGATGAAAATTGATTAATTCTTCTCCTTTAAGTTGGCGCACGGGAGTGAATTCTCAGTGCAATTATGGTCAGAAGAGCAGGTGGAGTGAAATTTCAGGCGCAGTGGCTGCCCAAAAAGAGGTGTTTTTCGCAGTGTCGCAAAATGACAAAATAAGTGCTGATCTCAGTGTTGCAGATATCATCAGACTCCAAGACGTAACGGCACTTAGTTTCTCAATGACGTTCGAATGATGCTGCACAAAGATCGCGACAGTCGCGTTTGGATCAGCGATGAAAGATATCAGCGTAATCTGTTTGAGATGACTCTGGCTGGAATACCAAAATCTGCAATTGTATTGGCGTACCATTGTGCGATTTTATGTTTGGCAACAGGTCTTTTTTTAGATTTGCAGTGACTGCATTCAGGATACATAATGAACGGGTATTATGAAATCAAATTAAAAATAGTCAATGCTTACAACAATAGACACCCCTGTCGCTAAGACTGATACGACCATTACATTGTCATCTATGACCAATTTTGAGACCATCTACTTATCACATCGCTTCATCAGATCATACTGGTGAATCTGCACGTATAAAACTATGTTATGAGATGTCAAACAGACCTTCAGATATCTCGTTGTTGGCTAAAGAATGCTTCTCAGTGTCCATCAGTCAGTTAAAAAGGCAACCAGATGACCGAGCGATACATCAGGTAAAGGTGAGAGAATCTCGAGCATATGATCAGGTGTATGGCATGCGTGACTATTATTATCTGCAAGAGGGCACGATATGTATGGTAGCGGACATCTTAACTCTACAATATTTGTATGGGACCGCGCAGATTTCCTA